CATTTCCTGCCCAGCAGCTCGAAGATCCGCAGGTTCTCCTGCTCCCGCAGCAGCTCCGAGGGGACGTTGTCCCCCCCCTGCCGCCCCCCCCGGCTCATCCCCAAATTTTGGGACCCCCCCCAAAATCCCGGAGAACCCCAAAAATCCCCCCTGGGAAGCCCCCCCAAAAAAATCCTGGGGAACCCCAAAAAAACCCCCTGGGAACCCCAAAAATTCCCCCGGGACACCCAAAAAATCCCAGGGAACCCCAAAATCCCTCCTGGGACCCCAAAAATTCCCCCGGGACACCCAAAAATTCCCTGGGAACCCCAAAATCCCTCCTGGGACACCCAAAAAATCCCAGGGAACCCCAAAATCCCTCCTGGGACCCCAAAAAAATCCCAGGGAACCCCAAAAATTCCCCCAGGAACCCCAAAACCTCCCCAGAGCCGCCCCCCAAAAATCTCTGGGTGCCCCCGAGGCCTCTTCCGGCCGGAAGCACCCAAAGGTGGCGGGGACGTCACCTCCGGACTGGGGGAACTGGGAGGGGGAACTGGGGGAACTGGGAGGGGGAACTGGGGGGAACTGGGAGGGACTTGGGGGGCTGGGAAGGGAACTGGGAGGGACTGGGGGGGAACTGGGAGGGAACTGGGAGAGACTGGGAGGGACTGGGAGGGAACTGGGAGAGACTGGGGGGAACTGGGAGGGACTGGGAGGGAACTGGGAGCACTGGGAGAGACTGGGAGGGAACTGGGAGCACTGGGAGGGACTGGAGGGAACTGGGAGCACCCTCAACCAGTAACGGGAGCAAACTGGGAACACTGGGAGAATCCCAGTCCTGGCCCTGGACCTGTCCACACCCTCCCAGTTCATACTGGGAAGTCCCCAGTTCATACTGGGAATGGGAAATCCCTTCCCAGTTCATACTGGGAGCCCCAAACCCCCTCCCAGTTCATACTGGGAGATCCCAGTCCCTCCCAGTCCATACTGGGAGCCCCAAACTCCCTCCCAGTCCCTCCCAGTCCATACTGGGAGATCCCAGTCCCTCCCAGTCCATACTGGGAGCCCCAAACCCCCTCCCAGTCCCTCCCAGTTCATACTGGGAGCCCCAAACCCCCTCCCAGTTCATACTGGGAGCCCCAAGCCCCCTCCCAGTCCCTCCCAGTCCATACTGGGAACCCCAAACTCCCTCCCAGTTCATACTGGGAGCTCCCAGTCCCTCCCAGTTCATACTGGGAGCCCCAAACTCCCTCCCAGTCCATACTGGGAGCCCCAAACCCCCTCCCAGTCCCTCCCAGTTCATACTGGGAGCCCCAAACTCCCTCCCAGTCCATACTGGGAGCCCCAAACCCCCTCCCAGTCCATACTGGGAGCCCCAAACCTCCTCCCAGTCCCTCCCAGTCCATACTGGGAGCCCCAAACCCCCTCCCAGTCCCTCCCAGTCCATACTGGGAGCCACACCAGTAACAGGCATCGTTTATTGGCGGTTCCGACACCTCTGGGACCCCCCCGGCTGGAGGGGGAGGGGCAATAAATAAGGGGGGGAGGGGAGAAGGCACCCAGGGTGGGAGGCAGGAACTGGTTTGTACTGGTCCATACTGGGAGAAGGCCTACGGGCATCAACACAGCGGTGGGGGCACCCTACCGGTCCATACTGGTCTGTACTGGGAGCACGCAAGGCAGGAGGAGATCTGGACTGGTTTGTACTGGTCCATACTGGTCCATACTGGGAGGACACAAGGCCACGCCGGTGAAGAGCTCCCAGTTTGGCTGCCGGACTGGTCCATACTGGTCCATACTGGTCCATACTGGTGCGTGCTGGGATGGCTGAAGGCCGTGGCAAGGCACTGGTCCATACTGGTCTGTACTGGTCCATACTGGTCTGTACTGGTCCATACTGGTCTGGCACAAGGTGATGCACGTGGGGCTCCCAGTTGGGCTCCCAGCCCCTTCCTGCTCCATACTGGTCCATACTGGTCCATACTGGTCCGGCCCAAGGCAATGCAGATGGAGGAGCTCCCAGCCGGGATGTTGCACTGGTTCATACTGGTTCATACTGGTTCTTACTGGGATGTCCCACGGCGGTGCAGAACCCAGCAGGGAGGCACTGGGCTGTACTGGTTCATACTGGTTCATACTGGGAGGGGTCTCTGCTGCCATGGGGGGGTCATGGGGAGCTCTGGGGGGTCCCTGGGGTCTCCATGGTGGCCTTGGGGTCCCCAAAAGGGCCAACCTGTCCCCACGTGGGGTCCGTGGTGTCCCCACAGTGTCCTACAGACCCTGACAGTGACCAGAGTCCCCAAGGTGACCTCAGGACCTCCTGGAGATGTTCTATGGGGTCACCACCTTGTCCTACAGACCTCCAGTGACTTTGGGGCCCTTCACGATGACCTCAGAACCACTAGGAGATGTTCTATGGGGTCACCACCTTGTCCTACAGACCTCCCGTGACTTTGGGGCCCCTCAGGACCTCCTGGAGATGTTCTACAGGGTCACCACCTTGTCCTACAGACCTCCAGTGACTCTGGGGCCCCTCAGGACCTCCTGGA